AATAGAGAGTGACTGCTTATGGTGTGATGAGAATGATGCAGCAAAGTTGCTGTCTAGGCATTAGAAATAGAATACCACACCCAAATTGCTCAAGCAGATGTCCAGAGAAAAGACCTTAAAGGCATTCCTCCCACCTAGCAGACTGGGCTCCCTGCTTTCCTGCTGCTTCTTTTAAATAGACCTATTTATCATGCCCTCCTTGCCCAGGATCTGTAAGTAAAAATCTTCCAATTTGTTTTTTATTATGGTGGTGTAGTAAAATTGCACTTTGCATCTGAAGAACCAGGGGCTATGGGTTTTCCCTGGGATTGTGAGGAGAACATAAACTCAGGCTCCTATGCCAAGTGATGGGACAGTCACAGACTGGACATAGGCCAAACAAGAGCCACAAGATGAGTTTCCCGTGTGAGGGACCTCTGGTCACAGGTCAGATGACTAGGCATTAAGCCATCTGTCAGATAAAGGAATATCCTGTTTAAGACACATTGTAAATACCCATGTCCAAATTCCCTTCATTTCTTGTTAAGACAGTGTTACTGACTGACCTGTGGTATTGGAAACCAATTTAGCTGGAGGCTCTCAAAACAAATGGGTACAGGGTTTCTTTTGAAAGTGGTATAAATATTGGGTTGTCAGAAAAGTTATTATGCGTTTTTTTCTTTTCTAACAACTCAGCACTATACATTGATCTTGGTGAAGTTGCACTAGTCTGAATGTATTAAAAACAGTTCAATTGTATACTAAATGGGTAAATGATATTTAATATGTGAGTTAAATGTCAATAAAGCTGTTTTAAAAAAACACGTCTTGGGGGCCCGCAGGTGGTGTTAAGGTGTTGGACTCCACATGGTTGACTGTGGTTCCAGTCCCAGACCTGGTGGTTCGAAACATGCTGGGCATGTGTGCATGCATGCCCCAAATCCCAAGACAAGAATGGAGAAGGGATTGTAGCATGGCTGTCCCCTCTGGGGGATGATTTATTATTTTCTGTCTCTATGTCTCTCTGGCAAGCAAACACACCCTATAGCAAAAAATCTCTCTACAAAAACGACACATTTCTTGGAAGGATAAAATTGATTTGAAAGTCATGTAGGTGCCTGTCTAAACAGACTTCAAAATTCTTTTATCTTTTTTTTTTTTTTAAGAGAGAGATTTTTGCTCGAGGTGTGCTGCTCAGACAGAGAAAGAGAGGATAAAGCACCTCTCAAGGGGAATGGCCATGCCACAATCCCTTATCCTCCACCTCTCCCCCCTTTGGGGATTATGGGCATGCACACACATGGTTTCTCAAGCTTCTGGGTCCAAAATTTGAACCACAATTGGCCATGCGGGGGATTCAGTTGCTTTACCTATTAGCCCACCAAGAAGGCCCCAAACTTCAACATTTTTAAATGGACTACATCAACATACAATACTCAAAAAAGCAAAATTAATATCTGGCATCCAGTCAGAAATTACTACTATAGGAAGAAGAAGAAAATGTGACCCATACACAAGCCAAAAATAAATTAGTAGAAACAGACCCAGAAAAGTTAGAGAGATGAAATTAGCAGGCAGGTACTTTAACCATTAGGGGCCAGCAGATGGTGTAGCAATTATGTTGCTGGATTCCCACATGGTCGATAGCAGTTCAAGTCCTGGACCCGGTGACTTGAAACTCACGATGGGCACATGTGCATACATGCCCAAGATCTTGGGAGGAGTATAGATGAGAAGGGATTGTGGCATGGCCATCCCCTCTTGGGGTGCAATTTCTCAATTTCCCTCTCGCTGTGTCTCTCTCTTCAACAAGTGCATGCGCCCTAAAGCAAAAACCTCTTAAAAAATAAATAAAATTACTATTATGCATATCTTCAAGGGTTTAAATGAAAATGTGAACATACCGAGGACAGTAATGAAAGATGTAAAAGGATCCAAGTGAAACTTCTAAAGATTGAAAAAGAAAATACAGTCAGGGCCAGCAGGCCTGATGGTTAAGGAATTGGACTTCCACATGGCCAACTGCAGTTCAAATCCCAGACCTGGAGGTTTGCCTTCTCACTTTCTCTCATTTTCTCTCTTTCTCTCTCTCATGAACACACATGCACTATAGCAAACTTTAAAAATGAATAAATAATTTAAATAAATATTTTAAAAATACGGTATTAGAAATGAAACATGCTCTGATAGGATTAGCTGCAAGTGAGACTGCAGAAGGAAAGACCAGTAAACTTGATGGAGTAACAAAAGAAAGTCTCAAACTGAAGTGTGGGAGAAAAAAATGGAAATGAACAGAGCCTTGGTAACTTGTGATGGCATATTAAGAATTGTAATCCACAGTTAATTGGAACACTCCACCCAATAACGGGATATACAGTTTTTCTTTCTTTTTTTTTTTTTTTTTTTGCCCTGTGTTCCCAGGGAGAGACAGAAAGAGAAGGAGGGAGGGAGAAAGCACCCCCAATAGGGTATGGTCATACTATAACCCCTTCTCCTCCATTTCTCAATCCTGTTGGGATTTGGGGCATGTATACACACATACCCAGTGCATTTTTCAAGCTGCAGAGGTTAGAATTTGAACTGCATTTGGCCATGTGGGATATGGCTCCCTTAACCACTAGGCCATAAGCTGGCCCCAAGGACAATTTTTCAAAAGTACAAAAAGCATTTACCTTACTTGACTATGATCTGTGCCATAAAATCCCAAATTTTAAGATTAAAGTCACACACACACAAAAGTCCCTTGGGAACCAGCAGTTAGCGTAATGGCTATGTCGCTGGACTCCCACATAGTCGACCACAGTTTGCATCCTGGACCCAGTGGCTTAAAACTCACGCCGGG